TAGTTGGAGGAAGCAAAAACTTCTTCATTTCCAGTTTTTCTTAAGTTTTCTTTTTCATGAGGCAGCAACTCCATGCCTTGCCTGGCTTCAGAGTTGTACAGAGCACATCACCAGGTAACAAGTCCATGGTGGTCTATGGCATTGCGAATACATCTTTTAAGTTTTCTGTGGCCAAAATCTCAGTGACTCAGTTTTTAATTCAATAATGAGGACTGGAATTGTAAGACTGGTTCTAACAGGTGAACTTATAGAGGCTGTGTTTTCAACCATACTTGGTCATTCTGTAAGCCCGCTAAGTTTATACTATTCTTACCTCTCCTTTAAAGTAAGTCATTTCCTATATGAAGTTTTACTTGGCTTGTTTTAATTATTCTGTGTGCGTAGAACCCAAGACCATTTCTTGAAAATTGCAAGGAAAACTGGCATGATTTCAGGTTGGTGCTCCTTTTCTCCCGTTTCCTCTAATTAAGTATGACAAGAGGGGTACCTTTTCAAGTAATTATTTTTAGAGGTTAAATACTTCCCAAACAAATATGTTAAAAGCACAGGTAATCTGGAAGTTGATGTCTCTGTGCATGAATGATTTTCTCCCCTAAGGAAGCCATGCGTTGATTACTGTGTTTCCTTTTGGGATGCAATTATTTGGCCTCCTGTATGGAGGATAAGACAGAGAGTCATGAATCAGGTCTGACTCTCCTCGCTTTTGTCTTTGTCGGTTGGCGGCCAACCCATCATAGTTTAAGGGGGGAAATGGTGGCTTTTGGCCCAGAAAGGCAACTTGGAATTTTTCATACCCCATGAGAAGGACATGCTGGTCCTTTCTGTGCCTCATCAGCAAGTTGGGTGGGACAACCATAATTCCTAACAAGCAAGTGCTTTTTCACTCATTAGAAAGTTTGTGTGGCAAGGAATGCACAGCTTACATCCTATCAGGCTGTGGTAGGGGTTGGACCCACCACCCCAGTGTCACTATTCCATCTGCCTAGCTTTAGAGAGTATGTAATCTGTAGCGCATGCACTCACGTGGGTCCTTGCCACATTTCTATCCCCTTCCAAGTGCCAGGAGCCCAGCATGTTGCCTGTGGAAGATTCGTTGAGATTTAACACATATTTTTGTATGACATAGCTGCCAAAAATGAGAAAATTGCTTTAACCAGCAAAGTAAAAAAAAAAAAAAAAATACCACCCGATGTTTTGCACAGTATGGATCCAAATATCAATGTTTCCATGGACAGTTGAATTTAAATGCTGAGCTATTTAATTATAATATTAAAAATAATATAACTACCTGGCAATCTTAGAAAATGGGAGAATGGTCCGTGATTCCATTACCTAAATACAACAGTCATTTTCTTCTAGTACCTATTTTTTTTCCATAGCTGTATTGTGGTGTAATATATATTGTCTTATTTTTCTTCTGATCAGCATTCTCAAGAACTTTCTACATTGGTTCACAGCTGTCATTCATAATGTCTTCTAATACCCAGTAGAGTAGCTATGCCATTGTTTACTTGACCATGCCCTGTTGTAAGAGACCGAGATTGTTTCCAATTCATTTTGTCATTATTATAAAACCCACTACAGGTAGTAACCCTTCAAGTTGTTTGGCTTTTTGTTGCCTGTATAAACCAAAGGTTCCAGGTACTGTTTAAACTAAGGCTTGTCTCTGAAGTGCGTGTATTTCCAATTAACTACTGTGATGTCATAGTGGCCTTAAAGTGACCAGTAATTGATTTTTTTAAATAATGTTTCCTAGACTGTAACATCTCTCCTAGAATTTAAGTTAAAGTTTAGAAAAGTCTTCAAAGCAGAAAACCACAGTACTTTCTCTCTTGGTATTCGTACAACCTCATTTACTTAGGCCTACAATGTATGCTGGTGACAGAACTGAAATAGAAATTGATTTTGAGACTCTGGCCCTTTTGAAGTAGTTCAGAGAGAAGCAGCTTGAGGAAACTTCAGACTGTCTGTGGCCTGTAGTCAACCCTCATCCAGCATGCTGATGGAGAACTTGCACAACTGTTTGCACGTCTACAGAAATTGTATAGAGACCTCGGTGTCATGTCTTGATAGAGACTGACATTTTAATGTCTGGGGTCAAGCTTGGAGGGGCTGTCGGCCTAGTTAACCTAACTCAGGAGCAATCCCTACATCACCCAGGGAAACACAATGGGATTGTAACCGGGTGTTAATAGGATCTGTTACAAGAATGGCACAGCTTTATCTTCAGGGAACGAGCTAGTGAGCTGCAGGTGGCTAATGTCCACTTCTAAACAGATCAGATCGGATAAACATGCAGGCTCTCCAGGATAGAAGGGAGATGAGCCCCAGAAGTTTTTAACACCAGCGGGTGCAGTATTTCATATTGGTGTGTTACTGCGGAGAAAGAGGAACAAGGGAGAGCATGCTGATTTTATTTTTTAAAACACTTCATAGGACTCCTTAGCTTGAGCTCACAAAGGAAGCTTTAGAATTCCAGAGCAGTTTGAGAGTTTGAAAAAAAAAAAAAAAGTGATAAAAGTTCCCTGCTCCATGCAGGGGGAAAGAATAGTGGCTTCTGAAACCAGAATTCTCACCTTGCAACCTCGTCACAATTCACCATGCGTTCTGCATTGAAGGGAGAGAGAGGGTGGACCCTTGTCGGACGAGGAAGCTAACGCCTCACTGGGCTACCCTGTGTTTGCCTTTCGCTTCCCAGCGAGTGAGATGAGTTAGGTGGTCGTAGCCTCTGCGCTCATCCACTCATGCGGCCCTGCAGCGGCACAGTGGACACCCTTTCTAAAGGGGGTTAGTGGCAGACGGAGAGCATTTACCAGAGAGTGCATGGTCCTGTAAGAGAGAGTGTTGTTTTCAGGTCAGGCAGAGTAACAAAAAGACGGGGTGTTTGGGTGTTTGGAATGGCATCTCTCTCTTGGTTTGTCTCCAGTGGGAGGAGGAACAGATAGTGGCTCTTTCCTAACTCAGCACAGAGACTATCCAGTGTCTATAAGTTGGAGGTGGAAATGGGGAAGGGGTGGCTATACCAAATAAGCATCTGAAATATCACCTCATGCCTCCACTCACCCCCTCTGTAGAATGCATTTTAACTGTTAATATGGAGAGGATAACCAGTAAGCAAAAATGAAAAATGGTGGAGAATAAGGAACCTTCTGGGAGTGGGGGGCACTTAAGTCCCTGAACCATCAGTTAAGGACTCCTGTTGTGGGAGTGTTCAGATAGGAGCCCATCACACTATGAGGTCGGAACCCTGTGACACGGGGTTCCTTGAGGGGCTGGGAGATGGGAAGTGGGCCATGGGGGAACTGGTCTAGAATGTTACAGCACCTAGTTAATCGGCAGCCAGTCCATCACATTAAATATCCAGCCGTCATGTATTACCTTTCAAGTGAAAATGAATAACTCCCATTAAGAGCAAAATGGGTTTGAAGTCGATTCGAGACAGATTAAAGCACTGTTATGAATGTGTGTGTTGAGAGGAGGAGGGGTCTGTGTGTAAAATGCTTGTCCTTGTACTTTTTAAATAATAGATGCCCTACAAACTTACGTAGACCAGGTTACCAAGATACTGGGGTTTAAAGGTCACAAGATGTGCATTCTGGGAAGAGCACCAACTTCCTGGAATATTTCCTGCATTTAGCAATTTTTTTTCAAAATTATTTGTGGCCTTTTGATTTTAATGAATAAAATTGATTTTCTAAAATTATTTATTAAAGCACACATCTATAATGACAGCATCTTGGTATCCATGTCAGAACAGATTTCAAAGTGGAGCCTAAAGTGGAAACACAAGCTAGGTAACCAGACCAGATGAGACAGGCAGCAGTTTTATGAAAGAGCAAAAATTAGGCTTTCTAAACCAGTGACCTCAATGCCAAGTCAAATTATTTTTCAATGAGGGGAACGGGTATATATTTCTCACTACCATTTTCAGGATTTTACTAATCATTTTTAGCAAATTATGAAAAAAGGAAGTTATGTGTCCAAAACAAGTGAGAGAACCAACCCGTGAATACAGACCAGGTTTTGGAATGACCAAATCCAACCATGTTGGGATTTGTGTTTACAATGGAGAGCCCCCCACCCTTGCCGCCTTATCCTGGTTAAACCCTTAACCCAGCAGTTTTCTCGTCAAAATCTTCCAGATCCTTTACCATGCTTCAGAGAACTCCTTCTACCCACACTGTATGCTCCTTAAGTCTCATGTGACTCTCCTCATTAATTAGTGGTTTTTGTTGGGTTTTTTGTTTTGTATTTTGTTTTTTGGTGGAATAGGGTGTGGTTTGGGCAAGCAGATAGAAGATTTTCCCCCTTACCGCCCACTCTGAATAAACGCTTGAGCTTGGAGCATTGGCTAGATTTTAAGTTGGATTCATGCCCTACCTATTCCACTCTTCAATTACTTTTTCCCTAAAAGCAGGTTGCTAAACCCAAACTTGATTTTTTCCCTCAAGTATTTGTGTGCAGATCCATGTGAACCTTTCTCAGGTCACATTTATTATGCCCCCCGTAACGTGCTGTGCTGTGATTCCAAGCGGTAAAGTTGGGACAGTAAAGTTGGGAGCACATGGTTGATTACATCTGTGGAAGCAGAGTGTGTCTGGTTCTTGAGTTGACTGGTGGTTGGCAAAGCAACAGGTGAGACTCTCCCACCCGTTCTCAGCCCTACTGCCCCCCATAGGCCAGCAGAGTGTCTCTTGATTGGGAGAAGTCCATACACTGAGTTTAGCTTAATCCAGCCCCAAGCATTTTAGTCCATTTCTTTATCTTTTTTTCTTAGCGTTCAGTTGTTGAAGTAGTGACAGAAATTCATGGGGGAAAAAGGAACACTTGCTTCTTTTCCAGCGTGCTTGATAAGTCAGTCCGGATGCTCATCCTACTTGAATTTTGGTGTTTCAAGAAAATCCTGTGCTATAAATGAATGTTGATTTTCACCCAACACAAACCCTCTGGGAGCTGGCCTGGTCTGGCTGCTATATCGCATCTTCTGCTTTTACTTCCAGCGTCGTCCAGCCAAGCAGAGAAGGAGCTGACAGATTCTCCTGCAACCTCCAAACGCATCTCCTTCACAGGTAGCTCGGAATCTCCTCTCTCTTCAAAGCGACCTAAAACATCAGAGGAGACCAAACCAGAGCAGGTGAGACCAGAAGGGGCTCTGCTGGTCCGGGCGGGAGGTGGGGGGAGTGTTTTAGACACCAGCGGGGAGCACAGTCTTGGGTGGGTGGGCTTGGGGCAGACACAGGCACTGGTGGGAACTGGAGATTCAGCCAGACGGGTGGGTGTGTTCCCCACAGATGTACCAGTGTCCCTACTGCAAGTACAGCAATGCCGACGTCAACCGGCTCCGGGTGCATGCCATGACGCAGCACTCCGTGCAGCCCATGCTGCGCTGCCCCCTGTGCCAGGACATGCTCAACAACAAGATCCACCTCCAGCTGCACCTCACCCACCTCCACAGCGTGGCGCCTGACTGCGTGGAGAAACTCATAATGACGGTAAGGCAGCCAGTTAAGACCCATGGCGTCGCTTTCCCCAGAGGTCACAGGTGATGGAGGAACACGGACCAGATTCTGTGCTGTTGGATGAGAGAGCCAGTGTAGAGTTGGAAATGTCAGAAGTGATCCTGGTTCCGTGACCTTTGTTCTCCTGCACCCGCCTTCAGCTCAGCATGACCATGGTGTGACTGTGGCCCAAAGCACGGAGTATGTTTGTGTTCCCCACCTTCCCTTATTATCCCCCTCCTGGTCTGATGGCAGAGGTCTAGATTAACTCACCATTCACATGAAGAAATCGTTCTTTGGACTCTCCAAACCTTTAATAAGTAGGTCATGTTCTAGGTTGCGCTTAGTCTCTTTTTATCCTCACAACAGCCTTGTTTCAGATAAGAGTTTGACGTGTCTACATTAACAGCAGAGGAAACCGAGACTCAGACAAGTTAGCTGACTTGATTCCACTTGTCAGTGGCAGAGTTGAAATTTGAGCCCGTGTTTTCCAGCGCTACGAATGTGACCCTGTAATGTCGGAGTTTCTCAAGTGGCTACTCTGATTCTCAGAACAGGAAAATGGCCCGTAGGGTAGCACGTGTTGATTCATGGACAAGGGCTTTGCATTTTGAACATGATGTTGCTACACCTACAGGTTTTAAAAGCCTGGCTCTGAGTGACTTCTGTGACGCGACCCAAAAGTTTAGTGTAAAGATTTAAATCTAATTGTAATGTGGAAACTTTTCAAAATACTACAGATCATACTAATATCCTGCTTTTTCTGTCTGTGGTGAGACAGCTTTGCAAGCCCTTTTCCGATCACTAGAGGAAAAACTACCCCAAGAGAATTACCCTCACCTCTAACTTATTTCAGTAGTGGAGTAATAAGTTAATTTGATTGCCTTTTCATCTGTTCCCAGAGAGGTATTCTTCCTAGAGAATTCCATGTTATAACGTGCAGGTCACAGGCATATAACCTTTAGGTGTTTCCCATTCCATTTGGTTATGCAAGATGAATGAATAGTGTTCTAAGTGATGTTTAGTCATGAGGAACTTATAATTGATAATGCATCAAGAGAACTTTAGCAGCCAATGGGAAACTTGAAGGTAACCTAGCATAAGTTTCATTTCAGAGATCTTTCAAGTATAAATTCACTTTCCGTGGGTATTTTCAGATAGACTGGTGAACATCGTGAAAAGATTGAAAGTGGAAACCTTTTTCTTTGGATGGGTGGGTTTCTATGTTATAGGTATTGGCATTCTCACCAACCTTGGAAATAACAAGGGGAATTTCTCAGGCCTCATCACACTTCCCACTGATGGCCTGGAACCATAGGAACCTGAAGGAACAGAAGGAGATGTGGGAAACATTTTCAATACTTAATGACATTTTTCTTTTGCTCAGCTGGTTATTTTTCCTGTTTAATATAAATCTGGTCTAGGAAATATGAGCTATAGTGATCTGTATGACCGGTTTACATTAAACAGTAGGTTTCATTTATATATCACTAGAGACTAGAGTATAAATTATATTTCAAATATCCATTGTTTATCATTTTTTATAGCAGCAAAAGTAGTGTACATTTCATGCAGTTGAGTCAGGTGGTCATTAGGAACTTCATTTACCAACAGAGTCTTGAAGGACAAGGTGTTACTGCTGTGTTTCTGGGGTGCCGATCCCTAAGATATTTCTGAATGTTACTCACTAACTAGCACCTTCTCAAGCAGTGATTCTCAACCTTTTTGGAGACTCCAATGAAAGTGATTCTGTAGCCTTACTGGGTTATTCTATGCACAGTAAAGCTGGACAACAACTGTTAAAGACCACTGTTGAGGATTCTGCATATACAAAACAGTGTGTACAGTGCCAGGGAGCATAAGAATACCTTAAAATTCATACATGGAACCAGGCTAATAAACCCTGTTCTAGAAGAATTCCTGACAACATAATTGTGTAGGAGAAATGTGCTCCCTAAAGCGGTTGCAGTTGGCATCTTGTACTGAAACTGCTGTATACCTCATCTTCCCACAGCAGACAACAGAGATATTTTCTACAGAAATGGAGACATTTTTTAAAAGCGTTTTAATTCCAGTATAGTTAACAGTGTTATATTAGTTTCAGGTGTATAATATAGTGATTCAACAATTCTATATGTTACTCAGTGCACCCCCGCCACCCCTCTGGTAACCATTAGTTTGGTCTCTATAGTTAAGAGTCTTTTTCTTGGTTTGCCTCCCTCTCTCTTTTTTCCCCCCTTTGTTCACCTGTTTTGTTTCTTAAATTCCATATATGAGTGAAATCATATGGTATTTGTCTTTCTCTGACTTACTTCACTTATCATTACACTCTCCAGATCCATCCATTTTGTTGCAGATGGCAAGATTTCATTCTTTTTTTGTGGCTGAATAATATTCCGTTGTATATATATGCCATACCACATCTTCTTTATCCATTCATCTATTGATGGACATTTGGGCTGCTTCCATAGTCTAGCTATTGTAAATAATGCTGCAGTAAATAGAGGGGTGCATATATCCTTTCAAATTAGTGTTTTTATATTCTTTGGGTAAACAACCAGTAGTGGGATTGTTGGATCATAGGGTAGTTGTATTTTTAACTTTTTGAGGAACCTCCATACTGTTTTCTTTTTTTTTTTTTTTTTTAAAGAATTTATTTATTTGACAGAAAGATAGCAAGAGCAGGAACACAAGCAGGGGGCAGCGGGAGAGGGAGAAGCAGGCTTCCCGCGGAGCAGGGAGCCCAATGCGGGGCTCAATCCCAGGACCCCGGGATCATGACCTGAGCCGAAGGCAGACACCTAACGACTGAGCCACCCAGGTGCCCCTCCATACTGTTTTCCACTTTGGCTGCACCAGTTTGCATTCCCACCAACAGTATAAGAGGGTTCCCTTTTCTCCACATCCTCACTAACACTTGCTTTTTCTTGTGTTTTTGATTGTAGCCATTCTGACAAGTGTGAGGTGGTATCTCATTGTGGTTCTGATTTGCATTTCCCTGATGATGAGTGATTTTTGTTGAGAATCTTTTCATGTGTCTGTTGGCCATCTACATGTCTTCTTTGGAGAAATGTCTGTGAATGTCTTCTGCCCATTTTTTAATTGGTTTATTTGGCGGGGGGGGGATGTTGAGTTGTTTAAGTTCTTTATATATTTTAGATACTAACCCTTTATTGGATATGTCTTTTGCAAATATCTTCTCCCATTCAGTAGGTTGTCTTTTGGTTTGTTGATTGTTCCTTTGCTATGTTAGAAGCTTTTTATTTTGATGTAATCCTAATAGTTTATTTTTTCTTTTATTTCCCTTGCCTCAGGAGACATATCTAGAAAAATGTTGCTATAGCCGATGTCAGAGAAATTACTGCTTTGCTGTCTTACAGGACTTTTTAAAAAAGATTTATTTTAGAGAGCACGGTGGTGGGGGGGGGGGGCAGAGAGAGAGATGGAGAGAGAGAATCTCAGACTCGCCACTGAGCGCAGGGCTCAATCCCATGACCCCGAGATCACGACCCGAGCCGAAATCCAGAGTTGGACACTTAACCAGCTGAGCCACCTAGGTGCCCCTTCTACCATCGGATTTTTATGGTTTCAGGTCTCACATTTGGGTCTTTAATCTATTTTGCATTTATTTTTGTGTATGATGTAAGGAAATGGTCCAGTTTCATTCTTTTGCATATTGCTGTCCAGTTTTCCCAACACTATTTGTTGAAGAGACTGTCTTTTTCCCATTGCATATTCTTTCCTGTTTTGTTGAAGATTAATTGACCATATAATCATGGGTTCATTTCTGGTTTTTCTATTCTGTTCCATTGATCTGTATGTCTTTTTTTTGTGCCAGTACCATACTGTTTTGAGTACTACAGCTTTGTCATATAACTTGAAGTCTGGAATTATACCTCCAGTACCTCTTTTTCAAGATTGCTTTGATAATTCAGGGTTTTTTGTGATTCCATACAAATTTTAGGATTGTTCCAGTTTTGTGAAAAATCCTGTTGGTATTTTGATAGAGATTGCCTTAAATGTGTAGATAGCTTCGAGTTGTGTAGGAATTTTAACAGTATTTGTTCTTAGAGTCCACGAGCATGGAATGTCTTTTCATTCCTTTGTGTTGTCTTCAGTTTCTTTCATCGGTGTTTTTTTTTGTTTGTTTGTTTTTAAGATTTTATTTATTTATTTATTTATTTGTCAGAGAGAGAGAGAGAGAGAGAGCACAAGCAGGGGGACCAGCGGGCGGCGGGAGAAGCAGGCACCCTGCTGAGCAAGGAGCCCAGTGTAGGACTCAATCCCTGGACCCTGGGATCATGACCCGAACCAAAGGCAGACGCTTAACCAACTGAGCCACCCAGGCGTCCATCAGTGTTTTATAGTTTTCTGAGTACAGGTCTTTCACCTCTGTGGTTAAGTTTATTCCTAGGTACTTTATTATTTTTGGTGCAATTATAAGTGGGATTGTTTTCATAATTAGAAATGTAGACATTATAAAAATAATATATAAATAAAGTGTGCACATTTTGGGAAATGTACTGATTATAAGAAGTCACTTTGCTAGCAACAAGAGAAAGTTAATGGATTCAGAAACAAAGTTGAAAGTTACGAGAAATGTAATCATATAAGGGTTTCACTCTTTACCTAAAGGTATATGGTAAGGATGATTTGGTACTCTCTACATGAGAAGATGGAGTTACTGCATGGCTGTCAGTATTGAATTGATTTTTCAAGCTATGAGCATGGTTTGCGTTGAGATGATATAACATTTCCACCTTGATCCTTTAGTTCATCAGGAAAAGATGGGCAACCAGGGTTAGAGGGGAATTTGTGGCTGTAGCTTAGGGTGAACCCAGAATCCTTTTTGAAGATCGGAGTTTGCCCTGATGAATCAAAACAGATGCCACTGCTCTTCCTTTGGAAAGTTCGGTGTTAAAATGGAATTTTCAATTGTTTTACAACTAAGTGATTATAGTAAAACCTGTGGTTAAAATCATGCCCCTCGAGGG